AACAAATTATAATAATAAAATAACACCAATATAAATAAAAACAAATAGTAATATTATTAATAATAATATAAATAATAACAAATAATAATAATAATAATATAACAATAACATTATTAAAAATAATAACAAGTAATAATAATAAAATAATAACAAATAATAACAAATAATAATAACATTAATAATAATAAAAATAATAACAAATATTAATAATATAAATAACAACAACAACAATAATAATAACATTATTGATAATAACAAATGATAATAACAACAACAATAATAAAAACAATAATATTAATAATAATAAATAATAATTATAACAAAAAATTATAAAAAATATTAATAAATGAAGCAGCATTTTTAATTTTATACAAAATGATTAGCTCTCCATTTATATTATTTAATTTTTGCTGTTTAACAGAGAGGCACAATTTTAAACCTAACAGTTCATAACTAATTTCTAATAGCTGATTTTTGCTATTATGACAACAAATCATATTTCTGCTAGTTAATCTTCATGTGTTTGGACTGTGGGGGAAACCGGAGCATCCAGAGGAAACCCACGCCAACATGGGGAGAACATGCAAACTCCACACAGAAACACCAACTGACCCAGCCGAGACTCAAACCAGCGACTTTCTTGCTGTGAGACCACAGTGCTGACCACTGTACCATCCTATAATAATAATAATAATAATAAAATAATAATAATAATAATGATAAAATAATAATAATAATTATAAAATTAATAAAATAATAATAATAATAATAATAATAATAATGATAAAATAATAATAATAATAATAATAAAATAATAATAATAATAACAACAACAATAATAAAAATGATTAACAAATAACCATAATAATAATAATTTATAATAAGAAATAATAACAATAATTTATATTAATAATAACAACAAAAATAATAAATATAATAATAAAGATATAAATGACAATGTACAATATATTCCCACAGAAAGCCTCAGTATTGACTAAAACTATTAGTTTATTTTATATTATCAGTATTTCTGATAAATAACACATCTGTGGCGAGCAGAAGAGGCTGATGCTGATGGTGTGTGTGTGTGTGTATGTGTGTGTGTGTGTGTGTGTGTGTGTGTGTGTGTGTGTGTGTGTGTGTGATTGAGATGCTAAAACACCAGCGCTGGTGTGGTGTGTTCAGTCACAGATTTGGGCTCTCCAGCTCATTGTTTTAATGGATTTCCCTCCTTAAGCAGATTATAGACATGTTCCTGCCGCACAGGCCTGCGCTTCCTCTTTTGACTGTAATTGTGGGCGTCAGATCCCCATTTTTCCCAATGCAAATCCAAACCCCGGGAATAAAGCGAGCCTCCCGACGCAGTGGGCGTATTCCCAAAACTGGGACTAACGCGACTACATGGCCCTGGCGGAGGTTAAATTGGATTATTAAAGTGTGTGTGTGTATGTGTGTGTGTGTGTGTGTGTGCCAGATCCCTGGGTAGTGTGCTGATTGTGATTTAACAGCGGTGTGTTTTGGATTGTGTTAGGACAGCCGATGCTCTTCCAAGGGGATTTTCGGGAGCAGGAAACATTAAATCAGCAAATGTTTGCGTGGAATTTAGCGCTCGCGCTGCTGCTAACGACGTTTCTGGTTAATGAAGGGTCAAGCCAGCCATCTGCCAAACAACCCAAGCCTAATCGACTCTTATGAGGGAAATAGATTCCTTCCCTATTGAGCTCGGAGAAATCTTTCCTCCATTTACAGTGCAGCTATCCTGCAAAACTCACCTGTATGCGGGGTTAACCCCAGTAGTGTGTGTGCGTGTGTGTGTGTGTTTGTGTGAATCTCTCCAGCAGCCTCTGATGGTCAACATGAATTAACTGTGTTTGCTATAATCTTGATAAGAGCAGTCTGCAGGAACACTGTGATTGGCATTCTCCCTATGTAGGTGTCATCAGAGGGGGAAAGCCCCGCCCACTAGCGCCCATCATTAGCATAAACAGCAGCCCTGAGTGAGAAGCAGCCGTCTGTCCAATAATATATAAGAATAAATAAATAAAAACAAATACATAAATAGAAATACTAATAATTAAGTTAAAAATACTAATAAATAAAAATAATAAAAAGGATAAAAATAAAATTAGAAACATTTTTATCTAGCACACGTGAAACTCAAAGCACTTTACACCTAATAAACACAAAGATAGCAGAAAACAAAGGTCTCCTCAAAATCAAAATTTCATAATCACAAAAATAAATTAATAAATGAAGTAAAAAACAAAAATAATAAATAAAATAAAAAATTATAATAAAAGCTAAAAAAATAGTATAATCATAAAAATATAAAAACATTGTGAATATTAAAACAAACAAAAATACACACACACACACACACACACACACACACACACACACACACAGACACACACATACACACACCTCACAGGTACAAACGTCTAAGAATTATTAAGAAAATTAATAATAACACTTAATCATGAAATATGAAAATCATAAATAAAAAATGAAAAAATAATAAATAAAATAATCATAAAATATATAAAATAGTCAGAAACCAAATATAAAAACAATAAAAAACATAAAAATAGTCACATATAATAACATAAAAACATAAAATAATATAATATAAACAATAGAAACATTATAAATATAAAAACAAACAAAAATACACACATTACACAAAAACACACGTCTAAAAATAATAAAAACATTAATAAAAAAACAAAAATCACAAAATATAAAAATAATAAATAAAAAAAAGATAAAAATTATAAAATTATAAAAAATTTTAAACATAAAAACAAACAAAAAACACTTCTAAAACACACACACACACGCACACACACAATATAAATAAATAAATAAAATAAAATAAAAGGACGTGTCTTATTTTCCATAATGGCCCGGATCTCCATCAGGCTGAGCGTGACCTCAGTGCGGAGGCTAATCAGGGTGAACAAGAGGAAATAAAGACGCGCTTTTGCTTAATTTGATCTAAACGAAGGCCTGGAGCGACAACAACACAAAGCAAAGGTTAACGAATCTGCTCAATCACGTCTGATAAGACCCTTCACATCAAACACACACACACACACACACACACACGTCCTACACAATTACCTCTGGCTTTCAGGAGAAACACCCTGATAATGAAGCCTTTTAACTCCTTACACACACACACACACGCGTGCGCACGCTTCAGATGCGCTAATGCTCAGTGAACGCAGATGCTGAACTTTCAGGAATATTGCACTGCTTTCAGCATCATGGGAGATGTTTACACCCAGTCTGAGATCGCTTGTGTTTAATTAGCAACATTTATTAGAGGAGAATAATTAAGAGAATCAACATTATTGAAAGGATTAAAGGTCAGCTGTAAATGGGTGTGATTCTGCTGGTTTACATGTCTCGTTAAGCTCGTTACGGTCACCTCACTTTAGGAACTCACACTTGAAAATGATGGGTGACTTATGCGTGTTATATTTATAGTTCGTGTAAGTATGTATGTTTACAAAAATGTAGTGAAAATGTATTGAATAAGGGAGGGTAAATTACAGCAAAATAAAACAAAAGTCATGTAAATTATTACATTAAGTATTAAAAACTAAACAAATGAACTAAATAAAAATATTAAATTAAATAAAAAATCCTAATAAATAAATAAATACAGTACAAACCAAAAAAAATTAAGTATTACATAAAAAAATCCAAATAAATAAATAAAAAGTACAAACCAAAAAAAATTAAGAATTAAATAAAAAATGAAAGCTTAAAATAATAAATAATATAATTATAAAATATATATAAAATATTCTGAAACATTGTAAATATAAAAATAAACAAAAACTGCAAACATTACCCAACGCGTCTAAAATAATAATATAATAACTACATAAAAGCATAAAATATAAAATAATGAATATAATAATTAAATAAGATAATAAAAAAATTATAAATATTATAATAATATAAAATCATAAAAATTGTAAACCTTGTGAATATAAAAACAAACAGAAATACACACATCTCACCGATAGACACGTCTAAAAACAATAAAAACATTAATAAATAAATATAAGCATAACATATAAAAATACTAATAAAAAAATGCAAGCGTAGTGAATATAAAAACAAACAAAAAATACACACATAGGTCTCACAATTTAAGTATTTATGTATGAGAATCAAAGTATTGAAAACAAAACAAATTTTTTATTAAATAAAAATATTAAATTAAATTCAATTAAAAATAATCCTAAAAAAATTATAAATATTCATAAAATAACAAAATAAATAAACATTTTAAATAAAACTGTAAAAATTTATTAAATAAAAAAATGTAAATAATATTCAAAAACTGATTAAAATAAATGTAGAAAACAGAACAAACTCTAGTAGCTTTTGTTGTTTTAATTAAAGTTACTCATTTGTTCACTTTAGAGCAGGATTTAGCTTTAAAACGACAGAAACAGTCAAGAAGGCTTGGAAAATTACTTAAGAACTCTGTCATTTGTAAATCTTGTGTAAAACCATCTCAGATGGTCATTATCATCATTCACTCACTCTCCTTCAGCTCTGTCCCTTATTCATCAGGGGTCGCCACAGCGGAATGAACCGGCAACTATTTCAGCATATGTTTCACACAGCGGATGCCCTTTCAGCTGCAACCCATCACTGGGAAACACCCATACACACTCATTCACACACTCACACACTCATACACTACGGCCAGTGTAGTTGATCAGTTCCCCTATAGTGCATGTGTTTGGACTGTGGGGGAAACCGGAGCACCCGGAGGAAACCCACGCCAACACAGGGAGAACATGCAAACTCCACACAGAAACACCAACTGACCCAGCCGAGACTCAAACCAGAGACCTTCTTGCTGTGAAGCCACAGTGCTGACCACTGAGCCACTGTGCTGCAGAAGTTGAAATGTAGAAAACAGTGGAGAAGACAGCGGATGCTGCAGCAGTGAGGAGGAAGCAGAGCTGTACCTGTGTGGCCTGACTGTAGGGGCCGATGTTGGCCGGGGCCCAGTGGGACACACTCTGCACATGAAGAGTCTCTCTCTGGGGGAAACACTCCTCCTCACACACTGATGAAGACGATGATGGAGAAGCCTTCGTCTGATCCTGAAGAAGAACATCCATCTGCAGCTGCTGACCGACTGGCAGAGACGCCTGCACACACACCCTGAACAACAACACACACATATTTGAACACACAGGTACACACAGGTGTTTTGTGTGTGTGTGTGTGTGTGATTGTACATGGGTTGGTAAGTATTGTTTGAGAGAGAGTTTGAGAGTGTGTGTGTGTGTTCATGTGTGTCTACATGTGTGTAATTGTGTGTGCTTGCTTTTGTATGTGTGTGTATGCATGTGTGCATGCATGTGTGTGTTTGCTTTTAGTATGTGTGTTTGAGAGTGAGTGTGTGTGTGTGTGTGTGTGATAGTGTGTTTGCTTTTAGTATGTGTGTGTTTGAGAGTGAGTGTGTGTGTTCATGAGTGTCTACATGTGTGTAATTGTGTGTGCTTGTTTTTGTATGTGTGTTTGAGTGTGTGCATGTGATTGTGTGTTTGTGTATGTGAGTGTACATGGGTTGGCGAGTGTGTTTGTGAGTGAGTGTGTGTGTGTGTGTGATAGTGTGTTTGCTTTTAGTATGTGTGTGTTTGAGAGTGAGTGTGTGTTCATGTGTGTGTTCATGAGTGTCTACATGTGTGTAATTGTGTGTGCTTGTTTTTGTATATGTGTGTTTGAGTGTGTGCATGTGAGTGTGTGTGATTGTACATGGGTTGGCGAGTGTGTTTGAGAGTGTGTGTGTGTTTGTGTGAGTGATAGTGTTTTTGTTTTTAGTATGTGTGTGTGTTTGAGTGTGTGCATGTGATTGTGTGTGTGAGTGTTATTGTGTGTTTGTTCGTGTGTGTGTTTACATGTGAGTGTGTGTGTTTGCGCGTGTGTGACTACATGTATTACTGTGTGTATGTTCATGTGTGTGTTATCAGACTAAGACACACACACACACACACACACACACACGCACACACACACGCACACACACACGCACACACACACACACACACACACGCACACACGCACGCACGCACGCACGCACGCACGCACGCACGCACACACACACACACACACACACACACACACACACACGCACACAGACACACACACACGCACGCACGCACGCACGCACGCACGCACACACACACACACACACACACACACACACACACACACACACACACACAGGTGTCCTGCTGTCAGTGTAATATGTGTTGTGAACAGTATGATCGTTGTGTTTTAGATCATGTCTTTATATAAACTGAATCAGGGGTGTGCACACTTCTTCACACGGCTGTAAACGCTCTTGTCCTGTGTGCACCGTGTGCTGTCAGCTGCTCTTCGTCGTGTACCTGGCGGGCGGGTTGTGTGTGAAGAGTCTGCTGTAGATGCTGTTGATCAGCCCGAAGTCCTGCATGCTGCTGACGTACAGATGAACCAGAAGAACATGTCTGAGCGCAGAGCCCATCTCCTGCAGACGGCCTGCACACACACACACACACACACACACACACACACACACACACACACACACACACACACACACACACACACACACACACACACAATTAAAGAGACAGTTCACTACAGAAATCAACACTCAGTCATGGTGTCCTCATCTTCTAAACCTGCTCTGCTCTGCTGCTTCTCACTCAGAGTTTCTGTCCTGTTTCTAGTCCAAATATCTGAGCATTCTCCAGTCCAGAAGCACAGCATGTAGTCTGGTTTTCAGAATGAATGAGTCAACATGCATTTCAGTCAAGGATGTATACACTTGGGCCGTACTCACACTAGGTACAGTTGCCTCGAACCGGGCCAAAGCACGCTTGTCCCCCCTCCCGTCTCCCCCGACGGCCCGCGCTCACACCATATCGGGCCTCGGCACGCTTACGTCATCGCTGCTGCGCTGTTCAGAAGCGCTCTCTATGGCAAGCCTTTTTAGCATTTAAATCTTTGTTCTGACTCCATAAATATATTTAGAGATATCTCTAATTATATTTTGACTAGTCATAATTATAATTCGACTAGTCAGAATAACAATTAGAGATATCTGCAATTACAATTGTACTAGTACGAAATCAGATTGGAGATATCTGCAAATATATTATGACTAGTCATATTCCTCCATTGACTTCCATTGAAAAATATTTGCAGATATCTCTAACTGAGTTTTGACTAGTCACAATTGTAATTAGAGATATCTCTGAGTTTTTACTAGTCATATTACATTTGGAGATGTCTTTAATTTATCATATTTAGAGATATTTACAAATATATTTGAAGATCTCTAATTAATTCACTAATAATCGAATTACAGTTGTAGATATCTTGAATTGGATTTTTGACTAGTCAAAACTCAGTTTTCAATGGACTTCATATATATTATGACTAGTCATATTCCTCCATTGACTTCAATGGAAGTCAATGGAGGAATATGACTAGTCATAATATATTTGCAGATATCTCCAATCTGATTTCGTACTAGTACAATTGTAATTGCAGATATCTCTAATTGTCATTCTGACTAGTCGAATTATAATTATGACTAGTCAAAATATAATTAGAGATATCTCTAAATATATTTATGGATAGTCAGAACAAGGTTTAAATGCTAAAACGGCTTGCCATACGCTCTCATTCAGCAGCACAGTGGAGATTTCTCTAGTTATATCGTTTCAGTCGTTTGTTATGCAGTGACATGCAGTCAAATATTTCGCCAAACAGTCCTTAGGGATGCGGGGACACGCAGTCAGATATTTCGCCGAACAGATCCGCCACTTTTGGCGCTCATAAACAATCATTAAGCTCTCGTGCTGCAGGAATGAGGAGGTGTGCTGAAGGCGCGCAGCTGGAGTGCTGTGAGGAGTTTGCGTCTTTAATAAACTACGGCAGTTTGCGTTCACTGAACAGTAAGAATGATTAATAAATCCATATCAAACAGTCCCTTAAAAGTCACGTCTCGCTTTCGGTTTCGGGCTTTGGCGCGTTTTGCGCTCACACACAAGCGTACCGCGCCAAAGCCCAAGTGTACCGCGCTCAGGCACACCTCTTCCAACCGGGCCAGGGCCGGCCAAGTGAACCGTGCTTGAGCGCGATTCAGCGCACTCACACTTCTCAAACGATCCGGGAAACGGGCCTGGGCACGGTACGGATGGCATAGTGTGAGTAGGCCCTTAGAGGCTTCAAATACGCAGCTTTCCATCATCTGGCAACCCGGCCTGCTGAAATATAATGGCTAAACTGGCATTGGGCGGGTGAAATGGCCAAAATAAAGACAGACGAGACGTTCACAGCAGAATATCTGACTTCAGCATTGTTTATCAGATAAACTTCACTCAGCATATTTCTGAAACATCTGCAAACACATGAAGGTGCTTTACAAGAGTCAAACACTGACATGCAGCAGCTTTAATAAACACTTTACTAGCTGTCATCATATTGACTTTAGTTAAATTAACTACTGTTAAGGTGAAGCAGTGGTGCAGTAGGTAGTACTGGTTTGAGTCTCGGCTGGGTCAGTTGGTGTTTCTGTGTGGAGTTTGCATGTTCTCCCCATGTTGGTGTGGGTTTCCTCCGGGTGCTCCGGTTTCCCCCACAGTCCAAACACATGCACTATAGGGGAATTGGGTAGTCTGGATGTTTCCCAGAGATGGGTTGCGGCTGGAAGGGCATCCGCTGCGTAAAAACCTCCTGGATAAGTTGGCAGTTCATTCCGCTGTGGCGACCCCAGCTTAATAAAGGGACTAAGCCCACAAGAAAATGAATGAACAACTACTGTTAACAAGTAAAGTCTTCCTGAGTTAATAAAGCAAGCACTAATGAACAGTGACGAGTGTTGAACGTCGTAGGAAAGATTAACATGTGAAGATAAATCTCAGTCATTCAGTGCTGAACATGTTATCACAGAGCACTCTAAAAGTTTCTCTAATAAATAAGGCTGGCAGTATGCTGAAGTGCCCACCATATCAATATTGTGCATGTTTGATGATCAGCATACACTGAATTATTGAATAAAGCCGCACGTCTACCCTGCTCTCACCTCAGGCTCACAGCGCTCCAAAACACACATGAAAACAGCACAGAGAAACAAAGAGAACACACTCGCCCACTCACAATAGACTGGCGAAACCCCCATTAGACTTTCACATGGCATCAACTTTGTTTTTCCTTTGCGTTTCGCCACTGTTGAAGAAACGCCGCGCATTAAATATTAACTCCTTTAATATTGTCTCAGCGCTCTCTGAAGGCTGTTTGGTGAAGTAAGACGAGAAACATTAAATATGCTTTTCATCTCCTGCTCAGGATTTTTTTTCTCTCTGCTGTCGCGCACGCACGCACACACACACACACACACACACACACACACACACACACACACACACACACACACACACACACACACACACACACACAGAGGCCACTCTTTTAAAAGTTCTGCGGGCGATAACAACAAACAGAAAAAAGCACGGTTCATTCTCCGGCTTTAATTTGACGTGTGTGTGTGTGTGTGTGTGTGTGTGTGTGTGTGTGTGTGTGTGCATGTGTCTCGGTGACGGATGTGACATGCGGCCAAACCAAGAGCCACCTCTTAAAAGTGCATTTTGCTGCACAAGCAGCGGGAAAATGAGAGCGTGCTGTGGAAGACAGGCGTATTAGCCGTCAGCGTTTGAACTGCAGATCTGAGCTCCGCATTCTTCATTATTTCTTCAGTTCTCCAACTCAACACTGCATCTGAGACAACACCAAACACATTCTGTGATCTGACATCACACAAACACACACATATACACAAACACCACTGCAAACCTGATGGAGAGATTTCGCTCGTAGTTTATTTTGATGTACCACACACGCGGTTAATGACTGTGTATTGTTCACATTGACTCCCCTTTGGTGATGTTCGGGGCTGTTTTTACCCCATTGACTTCCATTATAATCACATTTATTGACTGCACAGCCATGATAATCCTGCAGTCTTGATTGATACTGGTGTCAGTTTTACTGTTAACTCAACACTACATCTGAAACAACACCGAGCGTACGCTGAGATCTTCTAGAGAGAGGCACAAACCTGCGACTAACTGCAAATACACATATAAACATACACTACCTGACTAAAGTCTTGTGGAGGATCCCAGTTATAAGATCAAGAAACAATAACTGGACTTCTAGCTGATCATTTGGAAAAGTGTAAGAAGATCGATCATCTGCTGATCTCAATCATCAGCAATACTGCAGAAGACCTACTGGAGCCAGCATGGACCAAGATTCTACAGAAATCAGTCAAGTTTGGTGAAGGAGAAGTCATGGTTTGGGGTTCATTCAGTATGGAGAGATCTGCAACATCAACAGCCTGAGGGATCAAGACATCTGTGCTGCCCATTACATTACAAACCACAGGAGAGGGACAATTCTCCAGCAGGATAGCGCTCCTGCTCATACCTCAGCCTCCACATCAAAGCTCCTGAAAGCAGAGAGTGCTACAGGATTGGCCAGCCTAGACACCAGACATCAACATTATTGAGCTGATGATGATGAAGGAGGTGTTGAATATGAACACAAGACTCCAGAGGGCGCCGTGTACACTTTTCAGATCTCAAATTTCTCTCATAAGTGCCATTCACGCCTGCTGTTCTCACGTAAATCCACTAGAGGCTGCTGTAGACTGACTGACCGACTGATCTGGCTGCCTGGTTTTTACCTTGTTTTCAGATTTGACCACATTCTCACCCTGTTATTCACTTGGTTATTTTATTTTTTGGCTTCTGTTTTTGCCTCATCTTCTCTTTGGAACTGTTCTCGAATTGTCACTGTCAACCCCTGTCTGCATCTCAAGCCCTCCATCGTGTACGTGATGAGCTACTGGGAAAACTGGTAACAGTGGAAAAGCTGTACACACGGAGGTAAGCGGTCAGCTGGTAGCACGAAAAGAAACAGAAGCCATCAGCGGCATCATACACTGTTTGTTTTAAAGACAAAATGTACCTCATTCTACATAACTCATGTTCTCCTGAAATGTATACAGGGGTACGTGTTCACAATGAGCCTGTGTTGGAAAAATCACACTGCGACATCGATATATAGCGGATATATGATATGAGAGACGTGCTTTGTTTATCTAATTGGATTTGCATTGTAGAGCTTAAAGTTAAAAAGGTCTTTTTTTATTGCGTGTTTGAAGTTTTTAGTAAAAATCACTGCAGATCAATCATGTGTAGACATAAGAGTAGTTTCAGTACTTTGCAAGAGTGTGAAGACGTGCTGTGCTTGGCTCTGGATGTCCGGGTGTTCAGACGGAAGCGCTGATAATCCACTGATCCACTGGAAACCAGAACTGCTGGACGAGTGTGAAACCTCACAACCTACAGCATAAACACACACACACACACGCACGCACACACACACACACACACACGCACACACACACACACACACAAACCACAATTGGTAATAAAAGTGATTTTAATAATAAACAGTTGTGTGAAAAAGTTTGCACCCCCTACTGAATTTCATCAAAGACTCAAGAATACACAAGACGTGTCGCTCGTTTAGTTTTGAATGGAGAAAAGTGCAACATAATATGGCGAATAAAGCCCCGCCTTCTAGTACAGGAGCCAATCAGTGATCACTATCGAGTGATAATTCTCTGGGGGAGGAGCTTCAGTGCAGATGTGTGTTTATGACAGTTTCTGCAGCTTCATGATGAATCCTCTGAGCTCAGCAACACACTGGAGTCTCAGAGAATACACACACATGAGGAATATATCAGCATGAAGCTGCAGATCTCCACTCTTAAACCAGACAAATACACGAGAAAACAAATGCTCAGTGCTTCTGTAATCTGTATGACAAATAACGAACGTGAGGTACAGTCCGTCCTGTATATATGCACACACACACATACACTCAAGCACACGCACTCAGCTCACCCTCGTCCAGTTGCCATGTGCTCTGTGTGTGTGATGGACATTCTCTCTGGACGTCGGCAGTTTTATCAGCATATTCCAGCTCTTCTGTCATCCTGTCAATGGCGCTCTGGCAAGGACATGCAGAGAGAGACGGCGGTGGTGGCCCTCCGGAGCCCTGCAGGAGACCACACACACACATACACACCCTGAGAACACAGCACACTCTCGCATGCTGGATCAGCTGACCTGCAGGAAATGAATATGAGCATCACGACTCCACCAAATCTACACACACACACACACACACACACACACACACACACACACACACACACACACACACACACACACACACACTGCAAATCAGTAGCACAAATGTCAATTAAAATTAATATGGATTTACATATTAAGTCAATGCAAAGGCGTTAATAGAAATCAGAAAACTCAGACACGGCACGGAATGAATCTACGCTGTATATCAGCCTTCCTAAAGCTCAGAAACACAGCTACTCTCTCAATAACATCTGTGTTAGCCATTTAGCATTGAAGCTAGAGTCACCGGGCAGACAGAAGCCCTGCCCATCACACGAATCGGTGTGTATTCTGAAGTGGATTTGACGCCTGAATGTAGCGAGTAAACTCAAGATGTTCACGCGTCTATTTACATGCAAATAGCGCTATTTATCCACGCGTGCCGCGTCTGGTGTGAACACAGCATTAGGGTTTGATAGTCAGGCACACTCACGTCAATCTGGCAACCTGCGCTTGTGTAGAGAAGAGAAGAGCCGAGTGAACGTGTCTTCATCCAACAATGCAATACCTAGTTCAACCACTGGGTGTCAAACACTGCAGCTTTAACTGCGCTCGCTAACCATGTGCTGATTAGCATCTTTGAGTTGTAGGCTTAAAAGTATATAAATGTCACTACTGAAATACTGTTTTCTGTAATTAATCAAACTTTTGAGCTGTTATTCCAAAGTATGTAGTTTTTACTAATGGTTTAAAGCTGCACTTTGCTAACCATGTGCTGATTAGCATCTTTGAGCGATAGGCTTAAAACTATAGAAGTGTTCACTACCGAAACAGTTACTTCCTGCAAAATTAGAGGAAACGTTTGGGGTGTTATTACTAAATGTTTAGATTTTTAAACTAATGGTTTAACACTGTGCTCGCTAGCCATGTGCTGACTAGCATTTTTGAGCGATAGGCTGAAAAGTACTTTAAATGTCATTACCGAAACAATTCTTTCCTGTAATTAACTAAAACTTTCGCTGTGTTTTCCCCCCCAAAAATTGTAGTTTTTATTTTTATGTTTACAAAACTGCTCGCTAGCCATGTGCTGCTTAGCATCTTTGAGGTATATAGGCTGAAAAGTCTGTAAAGTGTCACGAGCGCAACATTATTTCCTGCAGTTCAGCCAGAGAGAGGGAGATTGCAGCACGCTGGACACGGCCCACTTTCATTAATGTTTCAGATGTGTTTAATGTCCTGCTGTCATCTGCAGTTGGCCGTATGATAATGAAATTAATTATCCTGCAGCGTGTGTGTGTGTGTGTGTGTGTGTGTGTGTCAGTGTGGATCTGTCAGTGTGACGGAGACTCCTCTGGACGGCTGCGTGCGGAGCGGGCAGGATCTCCCAGCGCTGAAGGCCGTGTGGCTGCAGGAGTTTCCTTCTTGGGCAATGCTTTTTCATTTTATCATCGCCTCAAAGGCCAGAATCTCCAGCAACACACAGCAGAACACGAACACACGAGCACACAGAGCCAACAGCTGAGACTGAGGCCACGCATGACCCAAAACACACACACACACACACACACACACACACACACACACGGCTGACAACACATCCCACAATGCAACACCATCACAGCACTGCTGCCTTCTGATTGGTCAGTCCAGAGTTGATCAGGTAATGAACGTCTATAGTGACGTTTTCAGTTCTTATATTTCAGTGTGACGCCCGCATGACCCATCACATCACATCACATCACATCACAACTCAATATACCGTCTCAAATACACATCTGCAATAGACCCTTTCCCCATTTGTGTGTTTCTCGGCAGCAGAAGTCGTCAGAGCTAAAAAATAATGCCAACAAGGAAAATATACTGTTTTATTTTAAATACACGTCATGTTCTTTACTTTCATTGCATGTGGCAGCGTATCCCTTTATAAAAACAAATAACTCATTTCAACAAGGAAAATACTGAGACAAAGCGCCAGTGTCCTCCTGCTTATAGACATCAGAACAACACACACACAGATGTGCACAGAGAAAACACACACACACACACATCCACCTTCCCTGTATGACCTGAGTGTGTGCTGCATAATCCGACTGGACAGGTTTGTTACGGCGGGCTGAGGGGAATATTGCAGATGCCACATTACAGGCTAGAAATAAGAGGAATAACACTGCTCAAATCTATATATATATACCTATATATATATACTCACCGGCCACTTTATTAGGTACACCTGACTACTACCAGGTCAGACACCTTTTGCATTCAGATCTGCCTTAATCCTTCATGGCAGAGATTCAACAAGCTACTGGAAATATTCCTCAGAGATTTTGCTCCATATTGTCATGATAGCATCACACAGTTGCTGCAGATTTGTCGGCTGCACATCCATGATGCCAATCTCCCGTTCCACCACATCCCAAACCTGCTCTATTGGATTGAGCTCTGGTGACTGTGGAGGCCATTTGAGTACAGTGAACTCATCGTCATGTTCAGCAGTCTGAGTTGATTGAGCTTTATGACATGCTGCATTATCCTGCTGGAAGTAGCCATCAGAAGATGGAGACACTGTGCTCATAAAGGGATGGACATGGTCAGCAGCAATACTCAGGTAGGCTGTGGCGTTGATGCTCAATTGGTACTGACCAGGTTTTTGTCTGTGTATTACAAAGGAACTATGTAGATATTAATACTTCAAATCATCAATGTTTTAAGGTTATATAAACTATAAAATATGGCAGTTTACTGTAAATTTATTGTACTTTTGAAGACACATGTACGATGTTTCATTAAATTATCCAAAGCACAGGAACAGTGTTGTATATTTTGCTGACTTCTGTATTTACATTACTCGAAATCATACACCTTTATCTAGGGAGACAGACTCACTATTGTGTGTGTTTATGCTAATGACGTCACACGCTCTCCATTTTCTAGAAATCAGGGAAACGGAGGCTTACATATGTTGTGTGTTTAATTGGACTGCACAGATCAGCATTAGAACAGAAGCCTGAGGTGTGTTTGGTCTGATAAAACAGCTCTGTTGTTCTCCATGTGCACACGAGCTGAAGCTATTCTCTCGCTCAGTCTTACTCTGCTTCATACTGCCATGATGATAATAGTCCCAGAGGATGATGAAGACTACAACTCCCATGATTCCACAGTCATCAAAATACACCTTTGTTTGTTGTGAGCACACGCCCTCTAGTGGTGAAAATGACCCGTCGTGCCTATGTTCTGATGCTGGGTGGACGCTAAATGCAGATCTCCATGTCACTAGCTCTGGATTACTCACAGGATGTCTTTCATTTAGAGCTAATCTTATGTTCCAGTTTAATGGTGACCACAGCTTCCAGTTTTGTTTGTTTTACAGTAAAATGGACAGATTTAGTTGTGATTTTACAGTGTGCGCACCTCTGTCTTGTCCTCAGTGTGCATTTTGGTGAAGCGCAAAAAACCTACAGGAGCGAAGGCATCATCTGAGTGGATGACGGTCTCTGTGGCGTCTCTGAAACACACACACACACACACACACACACACACACACACACACACACACACACACACACACACACACACACACACACACAAATCATCCACTAACTGCTGTAAAATGTGTACAGTATTACTGACAACTTTGGTTGCCTACACATCACCACGACAGATCAGTTACTGTAGTTGTTGTGTTACCATAGCAACTGTGGAATCGCCACAACAGATCAATTACTGTAGTCGTTGTGTTACCATAGCAACTGTAAAATCACCACAACAAATCAGTTACTGTAGTCATTGTGTTACCATAGCAACTGTAGAATCACCACAACATGGTTTATTTGGTAAAGCATTGCCAGTAATGCTGTAAAAATCGCAAGCGCACGCTAAACGTATAATCACAATTGTGTTGTAAAACTACAGCACAGTTGTACTTGTTAATTTTAAGTGCGCTTTTAAATGTAACAGTATAACTGGGAGCTGAAACTGACAGTAACACTGTACATTTTACAGCAATATTAAGTGTACATTAGTCCACCAAATCAGTTCACTTAAAATAGTGATCAAAAGCAAAATAGTTTTTACATTACCTCAGATGTTGTGTTACCATAACAACTATGGAATGACCCCGACAAATTATTATTACAGTTGCTGTTACCATAGCAACCATAGAATGACCACAACAGATCACAATGTGGCAATTCATCCGGTGTGCAAACTCACGGTTATTGCACACTGAATCCAAAATTTTCCTCCGCAATTTTCGCATGATAGAAATTGAATTCGACCTCATCTTGTGTCAGTCGTATTGACACGCTGCCTCCGAAACTTTCAACTGTCATCAAAAAATCCAAACCAGGTTAGATTTTTTCGCTTTACACATCTGAAAAAGCCACCGTACAAGCAAAAAGGTAAACACAGAACACTGTCCTTTCAGCTACAGATAACATTATGACAAACACATCGCATATAACAAAGACAGACAGTTGAGAACCGCTATATGCTGAATTCAAAGACTAGCGCACCTCTGCCTTGCTGCTGTTTGGATGTGTGTGTGTGTGTGTCATACATTTGGCGTACTGCCCATAGACATTATAATAAAAAAGCATGGTCTGCTTTCGGCCCGTTGCTTTGACATGTCAATGCAGCTACCATCTTTTATAATGTCTACAGCAGGGATCATCAAACCTGTTCCTGGAGGGCCGGTGTCCTGCAGAGTTTAGCTCCAACCCTAATCAAACACACCTGAACAAGCTAATCAAGCTCTTACTGGGTATACTTGAAACACCCAGGCAGGTGTGTTGAGGCAAGTTGGAGCTGAATCCTGCAGGACACCAGCTCTCCAGGACCGAGATTAGTGACCCCTCTCTGTTTAGGATTCGTTTATGCATGTGAATGTGTGAACTACCACAAGGGTGAAGTATCACAATGAACCAAAACTCCAGTGATTTCCTGAAATAAACTTTGCATTTGAGGATAATCATAGCGCAGCTCTTTGTTTATGTGACCAATTTTTCGCATATGAACACGAAAAAAACGCAAACAAACATTTCAGACTTCAGTGTGCAATCACCTTCACTCTGCATCATGAGTATTTTCTAGTTTTGGGTGTACATTGGTTATTGCAGTGCATTGTGGGACTGATTGAGAGCACTTCAGAATGTCCAGCGTGGTTTTGGACACCGCTAGGAAAGGCACTTTTGTTCATGGGTGTAGGGGAAACTCTGGGATACAGCATAAGGGTCCTTACATGATGATCTTCTTTTTGAAGAGCGGACAGTCGAGGGTGAAGGTCTCGTATTCTCCACCTTCACCACAGATGTGAACGCCATACTTCTCTGACAGCTGAAACAAACACACACTCATCATCAATACATCACACACTCATCAGGGAGAAATCCTTATCACATCTCAAACACTACACAACTCAACACTAGATCACTTCTGCCGGATTTCAGCAAAACCTTCATGCTTTATATTGAAACGCTCTGAAAAACAGTAATAATAATAGACTATCAATATGTTCAGCAGTCCTAAAGAGACTAGAGAAAGCCAACAAGGGAAAATACTATATCAATATTACATCAAAGAGTACGAGTCTGCTGTGGTGATTCTACAGTTGCTATGGTAACACAACACCTACAGTAATTGATCTGTTGTGGTGATTCTACAGTTGCTATGGTAACACAACAACTACAGTAATTAATGTGTTGTGGTGATTCTACAGTTGCTATGGTAACACAACAACTATAGTAATCTATCTGTTGTGGTGATTCTACAGTTGCTATGGCAACACAACAACTGCAGTAATTAATGTGCTGTGGTGATTCTACAGTTGCTATGGTAACACAACAACTATAGTAATTGATCTGTTGTGGTTTTTCTACAGTTGCTATGGTAACACAACAACTATAGTAATCTATCTGTTGTGGTGATTCTACAGTTGCTATGGCAACACAACAACTACAGTAATTAATGTGCTGTGGTGATTCTACAGTTGCTATGGTAACACAACAACTATAGTAATTGATCTGTTGTGGTGATTCTACAGTTGCTATGGTAACAAAACATTAACAAATGTACGTATTTATTTATTTTTGGAATGAGGAATGGAGGCTGCTGTTCTCTGACCTCGTGCAGATACAGCTCCATCTCCGCCAGCGATTTTCCTAGATGTTTGTCTGGATGCAGACCTGCACAAACACAACAGCAGCAGGCTGTGAGAGATCCGTGCGAGATGCTTGAGATGTCCCTCATGCACTGCGTCTGTTAATGAGGAAGCTTCATATTCATCTCTTACACATACACAGCCTTCAATACCTCGATCTGCAGCTCAGAAACCAAAGCCGATCAAATCCCACATGATGAACAGACACATATAACTGCACGTCATTTAAAAATGCGATTAAAACTGATATGAAAACACGTGCATCAGTATGCGTGATGTGATTTACTGTTATCAGAAGATGTGATGATAGAATTATGCATGATGATCACATTGTAAAACATCTGATATATGTTATGGCAAAAGTTCATCATCACAGTGGCTCAGTATTATTGTATTATTAGCACTTTACTATTAATCTGCTTTTAGAGATATTTAACAATTATTAGAAATGTGTGTGTGTGTGATGTAGTGTTCAAACTGTGTCATTGAAGACCCATAGATTCACATGTGATCAAACGACTACTCGACAACAAGAATATTTGTGGACTGTTTTGTATTATTGTCAATGTTTCAGCCCTCACACACTCCAGTCTGTAGCATATTCATTTAAAATGCCCCAAACCTCCATTCCCTGTGAAACGCCCCAATCAATCAGGCGCTTAAACTCGAACCCCTGTTCACTTCAAACCGCAAAACAAGCCCCTTCATGACTGGCGTCCACCGCTGAAAGACACGATTTCTCCCGCCAAACCCCAGAGCTCAAAAACAGCCCAAACCACGAGCCCTGAGGGAGCGCGAGCTCTGGACGAGTGTGTGTTTTCAGAGGATCAATGAGAACGCGAGCGGCCCCATTACCCGGCCCTGGGGAACGCCGCTCATAATGAGTGCGAGAAGAGCTCTTCTTAACCCCACACAAAAGGTAACAGGGAGAACGCCATTAAAATTCAATCCCATTCAAACACCCTTTTAATTAGTCATGCCTTTTAAACTGGTTTTAATGACTGATTTCAAACTGCTAACAGCGAGACTGTTTTATAATTTGTTCATTAATGTCTTGATTTTAAATAAAAGATGAAGCGCAGCACAATTTCATATTTGATGCTGGGATTAGGGCGGCGCGATACATCGAAATGAAGTCAATATCACCATTAGTCTGATTTAATTATGGCAAATTTATGCGCTAATGGTTTTGAAGTGTGGCGTTTACTGAAGCGCATGCTGGAGTGGAGGATTTCCATTTGAGGGAAGAACAAAATTAGGACATTATAGATTTGAAGACTTCATTAATTATCTGCCCTCCAGTGAACTTTTTTCAAATATTTCCCAAGTAATGTTTAACAGAACAAGGACTTTTTTACAGTATTAATGGAGAAAGCTGTGTTTCTTTTAGTTCAGTTGCAATATTTTTTTTGTTTTAAAATGCAAAAACTGATTAGGACATGGTTATCCACAGAATAAACCGCTGTTGTCCAACGACTGCCTAATTACCCTAACTTTACCCTGATTAAGCTATTTAGGCCTTTTAATGTCACTTTAAGTTGAATACTAGTTGCAAAATAAGTATTAAAATATGATGTGCTGTCATTATGGCAAAACAAACACTTGAAAAATACACTACAGGCCACTTTATTAGGTACACCTGACTAGTAGCGGGTCGGACCACTTTTGCCTTTAGAACTGCCTTAATCCTCGGTGGCGTAGATTTAAGAAGCTACTGGAAATATTCCTCAGAGATTTTGCTCCATATTGTTATAATAGCATCACACAGTTGCTGCAGATTGTGAGCCGAGCATCCGAATGTGTCAGCAGAAATGGAGACTCATCAGAGCAGCAACGTTTCTCCAATCTTCTATTGTCCAGTTTTGGTGAGTCTGTGTGAATTGTAGCCTCAGTTTCCTGTTCTTAGCTGACAGGAGCGGCACCCGGTGTGCTCTTCTGCTGCTGTAGCCCATCCGCCTCAAGGTTGGCCGTGTTGTGTGTTCAGAGATGCTCTTCTGCAGAGCTCGGTTGTAGCGAGTGCTTATTTGAGTTACTGTTGCTGGAACCAGTCTGGCCATTCTCCTCTGACCTCTGGCCTCATCAACAAGGCATTTGCGCCCACAGAACTGCCGCTCACTGGATATTTCCTCTTTGTCTGAGCATTCTCTGTAAACCCTAGAGATGGTTGTGCGTGAAAATCCCAGTAGATCAGCAGTTTCTGAAATACTTAGAGCAGCCCGTCTGGACAACCATGCCACGTTCAAAGTCTCTTAAATCCCCTTTCTTCCTCATTCTGATGCTCAGTTTGAACTGCAGCAGATCGTCTTGACCATGTCTACATGCCTGTGAGCTGCCGTCATGTGATTGGCTGATTAGAAATGTGTGTTAAATTCATACTGAAAAGAGCTCAGTTTTAACAGCATGCATTAGTAGTGTAAACTCACAGTAAAGCAGTCTGAAAGCACATAAACGCAGCAGATCTGGACCAACAGTTTCCACGCTGGCTCAATATATTCAGCGCTTTCCAGCTGGGCTGCAGTCCCGATCTCTCATTTACATGAGCGGCACGGCGTTCATCCATCCGCACCTGTTTTACTACCTGACCTAAAGCTAATTACCTCGGCCCCTTATGGCACATTAAACACAAATAAGCCACTCCAAGCACCATTCATCTGTCGGAGCGTCCATCCTCGCTGCCCTTTAGACAAGCAGAGCCCAGAGGAGCCGAACGCCTTCAACTCATTATTATCCTATAAAACTCACGTTTAATCCAGTCAACTTCCGAGCCAGTGATCTGGCCATAAATGGATTTTCAGAAAGTTTTGCATCAGATTTCATGAGGACACAAGCTCTTACAGTACAGCCAGAGACACGAAGCTCTCTTTGGGCTGATGGATGAAGCCGGACAGCACATGACAAAGGCAGTCATTTTCAACAGTATATGAATGCAGCCTTTATGATGCAAGCTGAGACTGCATCACTCAGCGATGCGATGTCAGACACAATGCACTCAAATGGAGTGAGTGACGTCACCGTGATGGGTAGGGTTAGGTGAGCCCATTAAAAAGCATTAGATGCAGCCCAGATTGCACTGCACCAGGTCTGCAGCCAGACTACTCTCGTAATTTTTCATTCGTTAGGCTGTTTTGAGGTCTATTCTGCATCTGTAATGTCATTATTCAGAATATTGCACAGAACACACTCAAATCACTCATGTACAGGTGAAGTCAGAATCATCAGCCCTTCTGTTTACTTTTAAATGATCAAAAAACACTAGAAAAGTGTTATATATATATTGCTGACTTGTGCACTTAAATTATCCCAAAGAATTTTCGGTCCCACTTTATATTAAGTGGCCTTAACTAATATGTACTTACACAGGAATTAATAGCTTGTTACAATGTACTTATTGTGTAAATGCATGTATTTACTGTGTACTTATACTTGATTAAATACATGTATGTAATTACATCTGTGAGTAACTTTTGTAATTATATTTGTAAATACACTGTTGACCATCCCTTACACCTTAACCCCCCCTTAAACCTACCCATGCCACCAAACCTGTCCATAACCTCTATCCCAACTCAAGAGCACCACAAGTGTTCTCAAATACATTATAAACACAGTAAGTGCATTGTAGTTATTTTGTGATGTAAGTACATAGTAGTTATGCAGTGAGATCATAAATTTAACTAGTGTGTGTGTGTGTGTGTGTGTGTGTGTGTGTGTGTGTATTGGTAATGATTGGGATGCAGATCAACAGATCTTCTGACACTTTTCTGAATGATCAGCTAGAAGTCCAGTTATTATTTCTTGCTCCTACAACTGAGATCCACCACAAGACTTTAGTCAGGAAGTGTAACTATACTGAAAAGAGCAGCCTGGACATTCTTCAAACATTCTTTTACTGAGATTCACAGAACCGCTGATATAGATGTCAGACTGCAATAGCAGTAAAGCGAGTAAAGTAAATCGTCAGGCTTTCAGGATGCGTTTTCTTCCTCCTGTCTTCCAAAACAGTAATTATAATGAGTATTATTAATTAAATTACTCATTAATTGTATTTTTTAACATCTACTCCCCATCCAAACCCTAAACCCAAGCCTCACAATGTAAAAACAGTGATTATAATGAGCATTAATTATATTAATTAATTAACGTCTACCCAACCCTAATGTTACCCCTTACAGTACTAATGAGTAATATTTATTAAATGACCCATTCAATTGTATTTTATCAATGTCCACCCCTACCCCGACCCTAAACACAACCATCGCAGCTCTGTTAAAACACTAATTATTGTTGTACAGTAACTGTATTATAATATAACCTTCGCCGTATCTCTTCTACAGATTTCCCTGGGTTGGAGAATCTCTGAATGTGTTGTGTTCAGGGTAATCGTCAGCTATATCAGCGCTCATCAATGAGCCTCCAGCACGGCATCATTAAACTCTGCCTACATGCTTAACATCTGCTGGAGGTGAATGAGAACGCGCTGAAGTTTCCTCCTGACAGCTCGCCTTTAATCCCTGCCTCGGCCCGGGAAATTGGATTCATGTCGGGGAACATTTTAGCTTTAAAAGCGGATGAAGTGAGCATCGGCGCAGGAAGGTGAGCTGGTTCATCCTTTGAACAGTGTTTCTGAGCCGAAACAATAGCAGCGGTATCACCTGATCAGCGGCAGAAAGAGAAACGAGCGCACATGAGATGCTGAGATTAACAGCGATCGCAGAATTCACCTTATCTGAAATTCAACAGCTGTGTGAGGAATAATAGCAGCGGCATGAATACAATCCAGCACACACATCTCGCTGATTTAATCTGCCCCAGCGTATAAATGGAATAAAGCTGCAATTATAACCCCATCCGATGTGTATCGCGAGCGGTTAACACTGACAGGCTTATAGAAGCGCAGTATTGGACACATTAAAGCAGTGATAAAAACATTAAGCGCACTAAACTCCAGCAATCGATTCAGGTTTATGATTGCATACGTATGAAGCTTTATAGAAGATCTCATAATGAACAATGAAGGCTCATGGT